GTCACAAGGTACTCCTTGGTTCATGTCCATCAATCTTAATTATTTTCAACCAAAACCCTTAAATTCAACATGCAGTGTCGTTCAGTAAAACTGCAATGAGAATTATGCTTCCACTGTAATTTCTTGACCTTGCAGAAAATCATGAGGATTATCGGTGAAAATTTGGGGAGCATTGGAGTCAATTCAGGCATGTACACTACGCCAAAAAAAGGATACAGCAACATTTAAAAAACGTTGCCAAAAACCTTTTGCAGCGTTTGGGCAAATGTTGTAAATCTCAGTGTTGCCGTAGAGTGACAGGATACGACAACGTTTAAAAACGTTGCCAAAAAGGTTTTTGCAGCGTTTTTTAAACGTTGCCAAAAACACTTTTTGCAACGTTTTTTAAACGTTGCAAAAAACACTTTTTGCAGCATTTTTTAAACGTTGCGGTAAATTTTTTTTTTTTTTGGGTACGTACCCTTTTGCAGCGTTTTTTAAACGTTGCGGTAGGATTTTTTTTTTTTTTAACGATATATGGCAATTGACCCACAAAATTAAAAATAACACTTTGCTAACCCATTTTGAAATTGCATAAAAATTAATAATTTCATTATAAATTTTTGAATCCATACACTTCAACGTTACAATGTGATACAACACCACCTAAATAAAAAGAAGTTTCAAAATGAAATAAAATGTTTAAATTATCTAAGCTCATTGGGACGAATGAAATACAATGGGAAAGCTCAGTATTCATAAGCTCATTGGGATGACAAAGGAAACTTCAATTCACCAAATAATACCAGCCCACTTGCAAAATGTCATTGACAAAGGAAGCATTGATCACCGGGCCGCTTACATTCAGAGTTCAACTGTCCTGGTGANTTTTATATTTTATAAGTGAATTTTCGTCTTATTAGTAGCATTTTTATTTTATAAACAAATATTTTACATAAAAATGATTTTTTACTTCTAAGTAATTTTTTAATTATAATATATTTTTTCTTATCTTATAAGTAGTATTTTAATTATAAGTATTTTTTAATTATAATGTACTTGCTTATGAATAATTTTTTAGTTAATATATTTTTATTTACCAGTTAGTTTTTTTAAAAAAAATGTTAATTGAAAATACTTATTTTATAGAGGGAAAAATTAGAAGAAAATATGAGAACCATCAAAATTCACCGATTTGGTAGGTTAGGAGGATTGGTCAAAATTACACTACACTGGTTTTGGATAGTTTTTAAACCTCCAAAACCGGAGGCAAAAAAAAAAAACAAAAACTAGCAAATACCGATTTTTTCAATTCTCGTAAATGGTGCCATCCAAAATCGGTCAAAATCACTAAAAAAAACTCTCAAACAGGCCCATAAGTTCACGTGAAATTTGGTTCATATACACACACGCTAATTACATTCAAACTTAGCTTAATTCTGTTTTTGGAAATTTTGAACTGAGGAGAGTAATAATTGTTTATATTTCAGCCTCCTATTTGACAAATCACAACCTTGTCAAAAATGGAGTTTTGAATAATGATTTTTTAAAAAATATGTGGTTAAAAAGTAAAATTTTTTTTTAGGTTTACGTGTAAAATATTTTATTGTGTAAATGTGGAATTGAATATGAGTATAGAGAAAAAAAGAGTTTGAGAAATACGTTTGTCAAAGAGAGCTCAAAAGAATGTAGTTTTTCTGTGCACAGATTACATGCATTGCCGTGATTTATCAAGACAAACAAATAGGATGTACACGATACGGTTGGGCGACTTAATGTGAAAATATAGCCCGTATTTGTTAGAAATTAAAATTTAGATTTTAATCTAAGTCAAAGTTAGTCATTAATTTTGACTACATATTTATAGGAACCACAACTTTTCAACCATACAATTCATTAACTTTTATTAAAATCTGTTAAAAATCTGATTATAATCCCCCGCCAAATAGGGCATAAAAAGCAAGGAAGAAATATAAGAAAGTAGTGTGATAACAATATTGAAGAACCATAAATTAGTGGGTATATGTCACCTACATATTGGAAGGTTAATTGTGTAAGAATCAATCGAATAACCATCAATCTCGTGGTTTTTAATGTCAAAACATGTTATTTTTGATAAATACTGTATCGCATTTTGGCTGTTTGGCTTTGTACTACAACGCTTTTTAAGAAAAATCGTTGTGTTTATGATCAAATGTCGACAATTTTTTTCTAGAAACTCTTTATCGTATATTATACAGTACAACAACAGTTATATGTAAAATCATTATATGTTACTAGGGATGGCAACGGGGCGGGGCGGGGGTACCGTCCCCCGCCCCGTTAAGAAATTTCATCCCCATCCCCGCCCCGTTCCCCGTTTAAGGCGGGTCGAGGCGGGGTCGGGTCGGGGCGGGGGCGGGAGATTTCCCCTTTTATTCCCCGTTTAAATTTTTTTTTTTTTTTTTAAGTTTTTGATAATTTTTTTTTATCGTCCATATTCATTATATTTAGACAAATAATTTTAGTTGCTATTTTTCTATTAGAACTAATGAAAATTTTCATTCAAAGTATTGAAAATNGATTGTACAAGTGGAAAAATCCTTTGTTTTTAGTAATAATGACAATGTTTCACTCACATGACATTTTCGATTTTGTTTATTGACAATAATTTATTATTGCACTCAGGGACGAATCCAGGATCAGATTACAGACCGGACTAATACATAAAAAAAAATTCTCACTAAAAAAAATTCAATGGGTGGTCGTGCCTGATTGCACTTATTACACAGGGACAATATTTCTACACATAAAACGTTTTGTTTGAATATGAACCACATCAACCTCTTACCTACAAAAACGTGTGTTTGAATATAAACATCAATTTTTTACCTACAAAAGCGTTGTCTATCAAGTGAAAACAATTTTAGTTTCATTTGTTTTAAAAATTTCCACACTATTTCTAAAAGGATCACCATAAAAAATTCGATTTTTATAGTATAAATTCTGCTGTCACTGACACATATAGGATATTAATAAGTACATTTTAGTCATTTTTCAGGAATACTCAATTTGCACAAAGAGGCTTGATGCACTAGCATCAAGAATAATTTATTAAAATTCGCACTGAGATGAGTCCTATTCATGTCCGAGGCCATCCGATGCTTTGAATTATATTTCTATTGAGTGTTAAATCGTGTAGATTCTTTTGTTCATGCAAATCTCGACGATCATGACATGTTTTTATTCGATAGATATCGACCATCGAAGCATAAATTTTTCATTCCATATCACGTGAATACGCGATGGACCCCTTTTTGTGACAAACGTTGTATCTAGATAGACTGTAAAGTTTCTGGATGTAATAATATATTGCGTTATAAATTTTATTATGAATAATTAAAATGAAAGAGAATTGAAAAATATTTTGAGAACAAAAAAATAAATATAGAATTAGGATATACATGTATTTTTGTCAATTGTTTTTATCATCTTCGAATACAAGAGAAATAATCATGCTATCTAGTACAGGTGGTAGATCACCAGTTTAGGTGGTTACACATTATATGTTCAATTAAATGAATCAAGTGACTTTATAATTAAATGAATCCATTAAGCTTCTTCTGACGAAGCTCCATGCGACAACCAGCTAGCAAGTCAATCAAACCCACACTCCACTTCTCAGTTACCTAATCGAGGTGAGGCAACATATAGGTAGTTGAGGTGAGCACCACTTCAGCCGAAGTACCATAAGGAGGCCGGCCTCCATGGCCCAGGCAAAGTGCTTCACACGCTATAGAGAAAATGTACAAAGTAGTTGGCCTTCACAATAATAGAAAGCATCTTCTCACATTACTTCTTCTAAGGATATCTTTTGCACAAATCTTCCCACGACTAATTGATTTGACACGTAAACGCTTAAATTGTTAGTCTATATTTCAAAGATCATTTTAGACTTTAGAGTTGCTGTTTGTTAAAAATATTAAACGCCATACATCCTAGAATTGATGGATTCCATCAAGATGAGGCCACATTACTGCGTCCAACGGTTGTCCTTTTATTTCTTACACTATAAAAGCTCATACATTGTGGCATTTAAAGGTAATGCAACTTTAAATTGACAAGGGTATAAGTTTGTTTTCAATATATGCATGTTATACCCTTCGAATTCGACCTCTTTATGTTTAGTGGCCCACGTTTTAACACATCCCACACTCAATTGACTTTTACGTGTACAACTTGACTATCACACCTCCCTACCATAAAAAAAGCCACCTCACCATCGAAAAAAGCCACGTACAATTTATGATTTATCCAAGTGTGTAGGACTAAGACTCAGGTGGATGTGAGAGGATCCGGGATTTGTTATCCACGTCACCCCTATAAAAAATGAGATCAATATAATTTATCATTTAATGTCATATAATTATCATCTAGGCCAGTACTTAACACCGACTGTGATAAATAGTAAGAGCATCTCCAAGAGACTCTCTATTTTTAAAGAGCATATTCTATCATTTGGAGAGCATCTATAAATTTAAAGAGTTAAAATTTTGATGTACTCCAACAAACTCTTTATATTTAACACTTAAATTTACTATTCCCAAAAAATATTTATTATTTTTCTTTATCTTTTATTTTAACTAGTTTTTCTATAGATTATTTTATTGCTTTTCTACATTGAAAATTGAAACTTTTTGAATGCATTTAATTATAGAGAGTGAGNTGTAGGAGTAAGACTCAGGTGGATGTGAGAGGATCCGGGATTTGTTATCCATGTCACCCCAATAAAAAATGAGATCAATAGAATTTATCATTTAATGTCATATAATTATCATCTAGGCCAGTACTTAACACCGACTGTGATAAATAGAGAATAATTTTGAATAAATGAAAAATTAATAAAGTTTCTTAAAAAATAATGTGATTTTGTTCACTCTAGAAACTTCTAAGAAATCGTATAAGCATTAAAATGATGCAGGCGGCGGGCCAACTCTCCACTCCCCCTAGGTAAACGCATGACAAGACCCTGTTCTTAGATAATGCAGAACCCATCGCCGGATTCCGACCTGCCACCACTGGCCGCCGTCAAGGTCCGTTCCTCGTCGCCGCGCTTCCCTCCCCCCACTACTCCCTTGTCCACCGAGACACCCACCGCCAACGCCCAGCGCAAGATTGGCATCGCTGTCGACCTCAGTGACGAGTCTGCCTTCGCTGTCAAGTGGGCCGTCCACCACTACCTCCGTCCCGGAGATGCCGTTGTGTTGGTCCATGTGAGGCCTACTTCTGTCCTTTACGGCGCTGATTGGGGTTCCGTTGATTTGTCAATTGTTGACGCTGAGAATGAGGAGTCTCAGCAGAAGCTTGAGGAAGATTTTGATACTTTTACGACCACTAAGGCCTCTGATCTGGCCCAACCCCTTGTAGAGGCTCAAATCCCGTTCAAAATTCACATTGTGAAAGACCATGACATGAAGGAGAGGCTTTGCTTGGAAGTGGAGAGGCTTGGATTATGCGCGGTTATTATGGGGAGTCGGGGATTTGGCGCGATGAAGAGGGGGAACAATGAGAGGCTGGGGAGCGTCAGCGATTACTGCGTGAGGCATTGTGTTTGTCCTGTTGTCGTCGTGAGGTATCCTGAAGAGAAGGATAGTGAAGGAGGGGACGAGCCTGTTGTGTCTGTGGCTTCTGCAGCGGAGAACGAGCATGATGCTACCCATGATCGCAAAGGTCGGCCTTTTTTACTTGGTTTTCAATTAATTTATCTTTGCATCACCTGTTTTTGAATAAAAAATTATTGTTGTTTCGGTTGTTGTGAATGTGGGGGAATAGAAATTTGAATTTTTACAAGAGGATTATGATTGTGATTAGCAGAGCTATAGAATCATGATTGGACGAATAAGAAAATTGCTGGGCTCGGTCTGGATGAATAGTAAATGTTTAAGTTCTGTTTAGAGATCTGCACTCGAGTTGGCTTCCTAAATTGGATCTTGCAAGTATAATTTAATGATAATTAAATGAAGAATTGACAATTCTTTTAGAAGATTTGATTTGTGTTGGCACGAAAGGATGGGATCGGGGTTGGATATGGCTGCATATTGTGATCAAATTTCAAAAGCCCATACAACAAAGTAGAATATCCAAAGAAGGAAAGATTGAAAAAGGAGAGAGGGAAATTGTACTAGCAAACTGTATGATTCTAGAATTTAATTTCTTGGCCAACCAGATCTTTTTGTGGAGCAATAATCTGATGATATCCGATGATTTAATGGATTAAGTTTTAGGGCTGAGCACCAGTTTTCCTATAAATGGTAGTCCATTTGGCCTGGATAGTTGTACAAAGTTATTATAAGGCACAATTTAAGAACATTCGACATAGTAGGCTAGGCTTTAATATTGTAAATAGGTCCTCAAGTATTCCAACAAAAAGAAAAATAAGACTAGGCTCCCAAAATGGGTCTAGAGATGATAGGATGTTGAAATATATTTACGTCTCCGTTTGTGTTTTCTTGCTTGTAAGCATTGCTGATGGAGCACTATTGCTGAAAAGTGGTTTAGTAATAGCTTTAGAACTCAGTCCTCTTATTGGAAGCAATTTTCCTGTTCATATTATACTTAAGAAAAGGATCCTACATGCCGTACTCTTGTCAAAGTGTGACATTGGTAATAAGCGTCAATAGTAGGGTCCATGTAATATAAATTAGGATCTGACACGCTGAATTCAATTAGTTAGATGAAAACGACAGAAAGAAAAACTATGAAGTAAGCTACCATATAAATAACTTTGCCTGTAATTTGTAGAATGAAAATACTGGCAACTGTTAAGAATTTAAGATAACTCAGGTTATTTGATGATTTAAATTGAAAACAGCGAAACTGTTTATTCCTGTAATTGAGACCTTAGAAGGAGTAGCATGCATCCAGTTGTGATGAATGCATCTAGCAGTTACATTTGCAAATGCAGTCTTAATATAGAATGTGCTTTTTTGTGTGTGTTGTGTGTTGGTGGGGTAGGGGGATGTGCATACATGTACATAGGTGTATGTTTCATTATTTTAACTGAAGGATAATTGTATAAAAGGGAGATCTCCTAAGATCTTTGTTGGGTTGGGATGGGCATGCCATTTGCCTGCCTCCACGTTTTCAAGACTGATGTAAAAGGGAGACTGCTTTTTTTATTTTTTTTAATTTGATTTTATGAGGTAGAAAGAGTTATTTTATTGAAAAGTTTCTTGTTTATTCTCATTGACGTTTTGGTTAAAAACAACTTATTCCGAGACCATACAATGACATTTAAGCAAATTTACCGAAGAATGAAGATTGTGAATTTGGAAGGTGAATAATAGTAAATTTTCTCAAGATCATTTTAATATTTGCAAATAAAGGATTAATATACTTAAACTTCAAATTTGGACTTATTTTATTGTCATATTATATACCTGCCATGTTTTTTCTTTTTTCCCATTTTCAACTAGCATACACCTGCATTTTCAGCATTTTATTGATGTTGCTTGTTCGTGCCAGATTTCTAATTCAAACTTGAGTTCAGGACATCCTCTCAAAGCAGCAGGTATGTAATCTAATTTGGTTTAGGGTTCCTGTTGAAATTTGCTGTTTATATTTCATCTTTATGGGTATCAGTGGTTTTATCCCTGATTTTGAGACATTCTTTAATTAATCATGCTTGGCGTACGCCAAGCTTGACAGTTTTAAAAAATGAACGGTTTTCCCTCAAATCATTTTTTAACAACAAGGCAAGTATCAAACATGATGTACACTTTGGAGTGTACAAATGGCATTTCCCTTCTTTAATAACTCTATCTATTTTCCATCTTTATGGGTATCAGTGGTTTGATTCCTGATTTTGAGACATTCTAGAATGATTCTGTCTATTTTCTATCTTTATGGATGTTAGTGGTTTTATTCCTGATTTCTGGACATTCTTGAATAACTCTTATCCATTTCCAATTGTGAACATCGTTAGAATTGGAATATAGCATGCACAAAACCTTTCTTTTGATTGTTTATATGTTATCTTTGAGTTTGTCACTATTTTTGCCAAATTTCTGATGATTTTTCTACTGTTCAGTTGCAGCATGCAGGAATCATATTCTTTGGGCTATATTTCAGTTGACGAGACTCAATCAGATTTAGATGTATGGAGTAATATTGCGTGTATAAACAGTTGCTTTCTCTTTGCTGCGTCATCTGCTCTTTATGTGTCATTGTTACTGGCATCTTTGATGTGTATCTTGTTCTCAATTAGCATTACCAGTTGTATAATGTCGCAATGTCTAAATTGTTGCAAGCCCTTTATAAAACTTGTGCTGTTTTCTTCAATTTCCATCCATGTAGACAAGTTGCTTTTATCTTCTGCACAAATCTGTTTTGAAGGTTTGTCTTGGGATAAAATTCCAGTTTTGCAGTTTTTTGCTGACCAATGAGAGCCAAACTGCTCTATGCAGCAGCTGAGAGCCTAGCCTTTGGCTCTTCTCTAGGCCTGGCAGGAAGACTTGCCTGACACCGGACCTTTCGGCCAGGCAAGGAGCCATTGGGCTACCCAACTGCTTTGATTTTCAATTCAAAGCCTCTTCAGTTGGGTCACAAGCTGAGCTGATCGGAGCCTCACTCAACTCATCTATAATGGTTTGGTTCATTATAGTTAATGATAGGGCCGATAACGTGTCAATCTGCCTAGGCGACTGGGCACAATTTGACATGTATCTACCCTCAGCGTTTAGGAATGGATACTCAATTCTTTATTTCGAATATATAAAGGCATTTGAAAGTAGACACTATTATTTGAGTAGGGACAATTGCTAGGATTTAAGTTGCTCTATGGTCCACGTGTTAAGAGAAGTCAGCTGCTGAGGTCCCTTTTGATCCTAAGTTGGCTTGTACTTACAATTCAATGTATGTTGGATATCGCTTTCTTGGATTAGATAATTTTCTCCGCAAATTGTAATTTCTAGTGACGGTTCTATCAAACTTTGAATTATTGGTTAAACTTGTGGTTAGCATTTGGTGGAGCTAATAATTTCTTTAATCCATTGATTATTGAAGCCGTACGACCTCTTTTAACTCTAATATGGTTCAAAGAACTTTACTCAAACTTCAATTATGAGAATGCTGCAGAGGATAGGAGCCACAAGTTTACACTGCAAAAATGTTGGGCTTTTTAACCCATTGTATGTCCGGGGTCCCATGTTATCCTATCTCATCTCGAGTAGCTTATCTTGAACTTATTCAAATTGTAAAATTGAGTACTCATGCTTTATGCAAAGAGTCATCAACAAAGGAATCTATGGACGTGGAGTAGTTCGCTTATGACAAGGCCTAGTTGGGCGGGGATGGGACGGGGCTGGGCGAACATCATTCCACTCCATGAGAAACGAGGCAATACTGAATACGAAAATGGGTGCATTAAACACATTGCATATAGAAGATTGTTTTGAATTGAATGGAGAACAATTATGGGATTAGGGCCGGCAAGGCTCCTATTGTTGGGCTGTCAGCATCTATATCCTGACTTTTCTCAACGTTCATTGCATCTAGCAGCAGCCTGAAAACAACTCATCACCTTTAAAGCAAACCCAAAAATGCAATTCTCTTTCTTTTTTGTTGTATAGATAATAGATCACAACAAATTCTTGGCTTTTTAATATCAGAATTACTGCCCTGTTGGATTGGACAGTACTACGTAGTTTAAAACAAAAAACTGAACTTTTCTTGATATGGTAAAAGCATAGCATAGTAAGCGATAACTTAACTAAAATGGCAAACAACAAGGTTGAAGTGGCATAAAGAAGAATAGGAATTGTATAATCAATACAAGAACAAACAAATTTATTGGATTGTTAAGTATTGGGAAAGGGAAAATTGGGAGAAATGATTCCAGGTGTAGCAACAATAGCGTGTGTTCATCGAACAGAAATTAACAAATTATCCCAATTAACAGTGTAGTTTGTCGGTTTGAATTGGCATTGGAAACAGTCTGAACAATCTTGACACGGGGTTTAAGAATCTCTGGTGAGTTTGCTAAGGCCTAGAATAATTGCAGATGCATCTTCTTCCCCAGACACAATTTCTTGCTGGAATCTTCTGAGTGAAGCGACGATCGCCGCCGTCCTGGACTTAATCGGAGCCTCTTCTCCCGCCCTCTGCAACTTCAATGGTCTAAACAGGCTCGTTGTGGACGAACCCATAATCTCAGATTCTTGAAAACAGTGCCCAGATGATAAATTTGATGCAGTGAATTTGGATTCCAAGGAACAGCACGCATCTTCATCCTATAAAGACAACAAAAAGGTCAACATTTTTGTTTCCAAGTTTCTACGTTTTCACAAACACGAGAGAAAAAGAAAGAAGGTACCTCGGACTCAAATGGGTTGTATCGCATTCTTTTCAATGAGGTAAAAGAAACATTGTCAGCTTCGCTACTGGAAGAGCTCGCTACAGGCGGCTGCTGAGGCGGAGACGGTGGTGTATAACTAGAATTTGACCATGGCACCACCTGATTCTCGCCGTCCTCCTCTTCTTCCTCCTCTCCCTCCACATAATCATCACTGTCACTATAGTACTCCCCATCATCACTTTCACTTTCTTGAGAATCATCGTCTTCATCTCTAGGAGTAGTCACTTGGTTTTCTGCACAAGTGTGGCAAATAGAAACTGTCGGCCCCAGCTTCGCACCGGCGGCTTTCCACGGCGTCGGAGATTGACAGACGTGGCAAAGAAGGCTCCTAGTATGCTTAGCAACAAGAAAATTTGCACCGTGCACCTTCTCATCACAATCCCAACAAAGGCTAGCTTGATCCGATTCACAAAACATTCTCGCTGGATTGCTGCACAATTCACAACCCTTTTTCGACATTGCTTCTCTAAAATCTTTACTCTCTCTCTTCAATTCGATTTTTGTGATGGGATTTGGGTTGGCGCATATGTGTGATGGGCACTTGTTGTGAAGTCTTTTATACAAGCCATGTATGGCCGTATATTGCCCACAAGTTTGTAGCCACTTGTTAAAACCACCCTCCTAATGCTTCAATTTATTTTTTATTCCACGGTTGTGAAGTGTGAACCCATACCCTTGATGACAAGTGTCTCGCGACACCAATCAAAAGCTTTGACAAATATCAAGTCCACGTTGAAATTGTACGTCGGTGAAACTTTATTTTTATCGTGCTTTTTCACAATTTTCATCCATTTTTAACCATAAAATTCTAGAGTAATGCTACATGTATATAACCATTCACATAATGATTCACATAATTATATGTGGCATGTGATTCAACCTTTAATTCCAATTTCATATTTACACATCAACAAGTGAATCATTATGTGAATGGTTATATACACATGGCATTACTCAAAATTCTATGGTATCCACCAACTTGTAAGGTTTGTTGGGCAAGACTTTTGAGCTTCAAAAATTAATTTTGGACCTATTTAACTAATTTTATGAAAGATTTTCTTTTAATCAGACGAGCTTTTAAAAGAAGTTGATTCAATATGATTTTCTTTAAAAACACTTTCGAATTAAGAAATTCTTTTAAAATTTAATTTTAAAACATAAATTAAAATAACTTCCTTAAAAACATCTTCTATAGAATGCAAAAGCAAGAACAAAAATGATGTTAAACGAGTCCATAATCTCGAAAAGCTTTGTCATTTAGGGGCTAAGGTTTCATTTGCACGACTTTAAAAAAATCAAAAGGAAATTTTGAGACTAAAAAAAAACTGCTTTGAACCCATTTGATTAATTCTATAAAAATTTAGGTTTCTCCGAAAGTTTTTATGAAAGAGAAAATTCTTTTAGAATTAGTTTTCAAATACCAATTACGAAATTTTTTTCACTCAATTCTTCTATAAGAAATGTTAGTAGTAGAAAATCTTCATTGCAAATTTATGAATTTCGATTATCTTTTTTATTTAATTTTTTTTATAATTCTTTTAAGTTAAAACTTAAATGTTGATTTACGTTTGGAAAATTTTGATAAAAATTTATAAAATTTCTATAAATTTGTTTCAGATGTTTGATATGTATTATTTTTAATTATTAAATGATCTTGATTAAAGATTAAAATTTAAAAAAAACACTTTTTTACTCACCTATTTCATAGTTTGATCTTCACGCATCACGTCTTTTAAAATACCGGGTGGGTCCAAATTATGAAAACAAATCTGATTCGTCTGCTCATTGCTGACATGGCAACTTTCGGTCCATTTAAGGGATTGACCCACGTGATATTCACTTGGTACTCCATGAACGATATGACTGGAGCTGGGCCCCCACCTTTTTTGATTATCAATCCTCAAATAATTTAGCAAATCCTTCAAATGAGATAAAGAAAAAAAACACCTAATCCGGAAAGCACGGATGCACATGCTTTGTACCCGGGGACGCCAATGTTTATACGTGACGTGGACATGCCCATGTGATCATGTCAACGTGGCACCATTCTAATTTTCTAAGTGTACATTTGAGCCCCCTTTTTCCAAAAAAAAGATTTTTCAATAGTAATTTTTTAAAAAATATATGATTAAAAAGTTAATTTTTTAAAGTATAAAATTATTTTATTAAGAGAATATGCTGTTAAAAATAAATTTTGAAGTTTATTTTAAAGAAATGTGACTCAAATTAGTAGGATATTGAAATACATCACCTAGAGAGTAAGAAAAAAGGGTTGTATCATGTGTACATAAGTGTACCTATAGGGGTGTTCATAATGGACATTCGGCGCCCCTATTGGGACAAATTATTTGGATAGAATCCCCTTTTAAAAAAAAAAAAAGGTAAATCAAAGTTGGGATTCCCAACTTTATTGTAGCTTGGGTTTGGTTCCCTAACCTTCAATAAGGAGGTTTTGAGTCCTAACCTATTTAAATATGTGTGTATGACTTTACGTGATGAAAATCGTCAATATATATATATATATGTATAAAATCATACGCAGCTTTACTTGACTTAGCCCATGTTTGGTTCAATTTAAAAAATTGATAAAATTTAAGTTCAAATAAAAAAAATTAATTTTAAGTAAACATTTTATGAGACTCACAACTTTCATCAACTTTTCAACTTCAAATTTCTTCAAATTGTCAAAATTTACAAAAAAAATATGATTTTTAGCTAAACCAAACAAGACTTTAAAGTTGAAATTTCTTAGATGATTTTGTTTCCAATTTTCAGTCGAGTGCAATTTTAACGACATTGATGACTTTCATTAAAATTCACAAATCTTCGCAGGTCAAACACTGAGAAAATCATTTTTGAAAGTACGGAATACAAATATACATTAAATAAAAGGCTATGGAAATTTTATTTTTTTAAACGTTATTTAAACTTTAAAATTTCACAAAGACATTAGACATAACTTGACGACTATTATAAAATTTTATCGTATTTATAACATGAGAAGATAAAGAGAGACTTTATTATTATTATTATTATTATTATTATTATTATTATAAGTATGGATAATGTAGTAATTGTAGCGGTTGGGGATTGAGGATAGGGAGTTCTTTGCATCAAGACTTTGTGAATATTGAGAATGGGGAAGGAGAGGTGCATGCATAGTGCACATTGTTCCAAAGTGGAGAGGTGCATGCATAGTGCACATTGTTCCAAGTGGATTATGGGCATACAAAAACATTGGATTTTTAACGTTAAATTCGTGGAAGAATAATGTTCAAGAATACATATGAGGTAAGCAGTTGCAACCTGTCCTAAATATGCACATTGGCCACTGGGTTCGGGCTTCTAGAGAAGGGGAAAATTGGGTAACGGAATTTTGTAGGCAAGTGGGCAATACTAGGGGCTATTGTCAAAATGGTTTCCTGTATTCCAAATGTTCAATTGACAAGCTCCCATGATTTTGGCGTAATTGTTCAAATATTATTTTAATAAAAGGGTTGTATGATTTTATTATTTCATCCTTTTTTTTGTGCCAATATAGTGGACCCCTCTAGGACTTTCCTTTTTATTTTTGTTTATTGTAGATAGGGGTGGAAGCAGACTTTTTAGGTTAGTAGCACAAGCCGAGCAGTCGGCGGATGCGTGGGTAAACGACGGAGCTTGGATCTTGAAACGGGTAGAGAGAAAATGGTGGCCTTGGTCATGTGACGGTGTGGGTGTGGGTGTGGGAGACAGCAGAAAATGAAGGGTTTCAATTTTCATATTTTACTTTTTCTATTTTAAAAAAAATCAAAATCTAGGGGCTCTAGGCCACCCTCTGGTCCGTTCTAAACTGTAGAAGAATTTTTTGAGAAAGTTATATTTATTAATTTTTAAAAATTGATTTTTAAAAGAATTTTCTTCTTTTTAAGAGATTTTAGAAGAAATTGAATCTTTTATAAAATTAACTAACGGTCCGAAACAGTTTTTGAATTTCAAAAATTCCTTTTAATTTCTCCAAACTCATACTAAACAGTTTTTGAATTTTTTAGTGTTTATGAAGTTTTTACTCATAGAAAGACTAGTGTGGTGATCTAGCTAGCCTCTATGGTACACACGCAAATGTATATATGCACTTTTTATTTATATGTGACATCTGGAATTAAGTTTGTTTTTATCAGTAACGTGTTAATTCACGTTATCTAGTTTAAATTGAGGATAATATGTAATTAAATCCAATCTTCAATCAATTTGCTCAATAATTTTCGATGTAAAAAAATAGACACTTGTTGCGAGACTATATATATATATATACACGTCCACAAACATGCTGCATAAAGAATAAAAGGTAATTAGCACATAATGTCCATACCTTTCACCGTTATTGTACAAAACGTTATTACCTTTCATTTTTTGGAATTTTCGCCCTTGTTTTCACATTTCTTTGCATAAAAGGTCATTTTCATCCATTTTCTCAATTAGAATTGTGAAATGACGAATATACAATTCCCTTTAAATAAAACAAAAGGAAAAAGAAAAAAAACTAATTGCAACCATAGCGCAAATTTTTTTTTGAAAAAGGTAAAAGAGTTTCAAATAAATTATTAAAACGGTAATTAACACATAATGTCCCTACCTTTTTTCTTGATATTTTCACCCTTAATTACATATTTGATTGCGCAAACTACCATTTCTATCGATTTTCATCCAAATTCTCAATAAAAATTGTGCAATGACGAATATACCCTTATATTTAAATAAATAAAAAAAACTAAAGAATTAATTGTAACAATAGTCCCAATTTTTTTAAAAAAAGTGCAAACGAGTCCTCAATAAATTTTAAAAAATATTTTTTTTTAAAAAAAAGTGCAGACGAGTCTCAATTAAACTTATTTAAAAATTATAAAATTATAAAAAGTGTAAACGAGTCCCAAATAAATTATTAAAGAATTAGAAATTAAAAAAAATATATTTTTTATTTAAACAGAAGAGTATATTCATTATTTTACAATTCTTTATTGAGAAATTTGATTAAAATGGATGGAAAGGATGTTTGCACAATTAAAGGTGTAATTAAGCGTGAAAATGCTAAAAAATGAAGTTGATGGACATTTTTCGTAATAACGGTGAAAGATAAAGATATTGTACTAGTTACCTTTTAAATAATTTATTTCAGATTTATTTGCTCTTTTTAAAAAAATTAGGAGTATGGTTGCAATTAAAATATTCGCTTCACTCCATAAAAATATGTTTGCTTTCTCTTTTTGTTTAGTCTAACAAAAATGATTCGAGCACAGAGAATTTTTACCAAAATTGGACAAGATTTTTGAATTCCAAGTCACGTGTAGTGGACTCCATGTATAAAATACTGAAATTTTTTTCCCCCCCAAATGTTGTGTGTAGTTTGTAGGTGAATTCCTGTACCTATATCAAAGTCTTTATTCTAAATATAGACCAATTTCCTAGTTGAGAGCAGATTT